GGTGGTGATGGTGGTGGTGATGGTGGTGATGGTGGTGGTGATGGTGGTGATGATGGTGGTGATGGTGGTGGTGATGGTGGTGGTGATGGTGGTGATGATGGTAGTGATGATGGTGGTGATGGTGGTGGTGATGGTGGCGATGGTGGTGATGGTGGTGGTGATGATGGTGGTGATGGTGGTGATGATGGTGGTGATGATGGTGGTGATGGTGGTGGTGATGGTGGTGATGGTGGTAACGGTGATGTCAGTGATAATGGGGATGACGGAGATGATGGGGTTGCTGGTGATGGTGATAGTGATGTTGGAGATGATGATGGTGGTGTTCATGGTGATGGTTCACAATTTTAATTCTCAAAATGACCTCGCAGTACAGATGAAGGAGCAAAGCTTAGAGTACAGACAAGGAAACATGGCTTAAAGCAATGAAATGACTGCTCAATGTCACGTGGAAGACAGGGCCCAAACTCTCACCCGGCTCCGAGGGACTGAGGCTCCTCCGTAACCTGCTGAGCTACTGCAGAGGAAATCTCTTGGTTTTGGGGAGCCTCGCAGCCTTTCACCCTACACCCCACAGTCCTGCTGAGGGACCTACCCTTTTCCCTTCTGGGAGTGAGCAGGTCCTGCCCCAGTTCCAGGGGGAGCAGGTGAGGCCGGTGCAAGCCAGGTGCTGATTGGTTCAGGGACAGACGCAGGATGCGGTCCAACCTCTCAGAGCTGGGCAGACCACTGCGCTGTGGGGAGAGCGCCCTCCCTCCTCGGCGGAGGCAGAGCCGCCACAGCATCCGCAGCCCAGAAGGGCGGCGCCTCTGTGCCGGGTGTGGCACCCAGACCATGTCTGGAGAGGCTGGGCCTGGGCCATCCTGTGAGCCAGCGGACTTGTCACCTACTGGGCTTCCTCTTCGTGTTTCATCCACTCTGCATTTTCTGTCTCTTGCAAGAAACAGCTGCATTTGCTGCAACTGCCTTCCCTGTCACCCATAAGAGCTGCAGCCGATGGAGCGCCAAGCCCATGCCTGGCGCTTCCTGCACTTGCTCATCGGCCCCCACAGCAGCCCCGCAGCCCGGCTGTCAGCTGAGGAAATAGTCCCCAAGACTTGGGAACGTTTCCCACCCAAGCACCTGCGTGGCTTCCGAGATCAGATGCGACCGGGCGTGATCAGGATGCTGTGGCCGTGGACCGGAATTTTCTGAGTTCCTAACACAGGTTGGTTAAGTGGGTGTGTCTCACCCAGTGACTGACAAGGCCACCTCCCCACACCATCCCTGAGCCTCAGAATGCTCAATTGTAAAACAGGAACAGGCCGGCGCTGCGGCTCACTAGGCTAATCCTCCGCCTTGCGGCGCCGGCACACCGGGTTCTAGTCCCGGTCGGGGTGCCGGATTCTGTCCCGGTTGCCCCTCTTCCAGGCCAGCTCTCTGCTGTGGCCAGGGAGTGCAGTGGAGGATGGCCCAGGTGCTTGGGCCCTGCACCCACATGGGAGACCAGGAAAAGCACCCGGCTCCTGCCACTGTATCAGCGCGGTGCGCCGGCTGCGGCGGCCATTGGAGGGTGAACCAACGGCAAAGGAAGACCTTTCTCTCTGTCTCTCTCTCTCACTGTCCACTCTGCCTGTCAAAAAATTAAAAAAAAAAAAAAAAACAAAAACAGGAACAGTGGCGTGAACCCATCGGGTTGGCAGCACTGACACACCCCTCGGGCTGCTTCCCTGGCCAGGCGTCAGATTCCCAGGGTCAGAAGTGCAGGAAGTGGGCCAGGTTTGGAAAATGGAAGCAAAGGCACAGACAGAGGGAGGCCAGTTTCAAAATGGCCTACACCAGGAGTTTCTGATTTTTTTTTTAAGCCACAAAACGTTTCTGTTAATGAAAACTTATGAGAAGGGCTGATGGGGGGGTGGGGGACCATCCGTAAGCGTGGGCTCTGCAGGAAAATGGGTACAGCAGAGCAGTACCCAGAGGTGCACTGCCCCGTCCAGGTCTCCCGAGCTCCTGCCTGTGCCCCAGGGCCCTTGCCTAGGCTGAGAAGGTGAGGCAGGGGTCCTAAGACGTCCTGTCCCTAGGCTGGTGGCAGTCTCCTGTGGGAATAATTGTTATCAGGACACCTGCAAAGTTTCTGTGTCCTCTCACCTTCACCCCATCAACCAAGCCAAATGCCATCCTGCAACTGGGGACTCATGGGGCTTTCTCCCCACCCCACCCCGTCAGTCTCCTCCCGCACACTTCAGATGTAAAGATGTTCCAGAAGACTACATGAGCCGTGCCTCCCACTGTTGCCAGGAGCCCAGGATGACTCGCTGCACGTGACGAATAACCCAGCACCCCCGGCCTTCACTGTGGATGCATCAAAGCCCTGCTTACCCAGGGAAGCAATATTATTGTTGAAATCCTGGGTTCAGAAACCCAGAGAAACGGTCCCCCTCCCCGTGGGACTGTGCCTTGATGACAGACTGTGGACACACAGGCAGGTGCTATGGACCACAGGCACTGATCAGGGCGTGTGCACCCTTCTCCGCCCGCAGGGGCTGTATGCCCGCATCAGTTCCCTGTGCGCACCGGGGAGGGTGTGGGGTTAGCTCACCTTGGGTTTCTCCCCAGCCAGTGATGTAGCACTCCGTCCGGTCGGCAACCACGTAATTTGAGGAGGGCAGACAAGCTGGGATGACCTTGTCGGTGATGACGGCAGGGCTGGAAGGGAAGCATCAACAGTCACCCTCCACTGCTCTGCTGGGAGTGGCTGCTGACCGCTGACCGCTGACCGCAGATGCCGCGTGCCTCAAACCCCAGCGCCTCCGAGTCCCGTGCTCCGCTGACAGAGCGATGGAGAACGCATTCACCCTCACGGCGGCCTGCGGACCCCTAAGTGTTCACTCTAGAAGCATCCGCGGTCGGGCCGGCGCCCGGCACAGTGGTTAAGACACAGCTGGGACTCGGCACCTTGTATGGTGGAGCCCGAGGTCAAGTCCCGGCTGCTGATTCCAGCTCCCTGCTACTGCACACCCTGGGGTGCAGCGGGTGAGGGCACACACAGCGGTCCTCTCCCACCCCCACGGGAAAGCTGGGCGGAACTCTGAGCTCCTGGCTTTGGCCTGGCCCAGCCCTGGCTGTTGCAGGTATTTGGACAGTGCACCAGCAGAGAGAAGAGCTCTCTCTCTGTCTCCTGCTAACTTTCTAATAAAAATAAATATTAAAATACTAAAAATGAAGAGGAAACACTGGTTGGGTACAAGAAGCTGCCAGTGTTCGTTAACCTGGGAAACTGAGGTGACAAAGACCAAAGACTCCGTCCCACACACGTCCTGGACACTACACCTTTCATAACAAGTGCAGCTTTTTTAAAACATTTTTTTGGGAGCCGCACAGAGAGAAGAAAGAGCATTCCCACCAGTGGTTTCCTCCAAAATGCCCACAAGAGCTGGGCTTAAAAGGCTAAAAGTCAGGAGACAGGGACTCCATCTGGGTTCCCCACATGGGTGGGGGGGTTACTGGAGCCATCAGCCGCCGCCTCCCGGGTGCACGTTAGCAGGGGACCCAAACCCAGGCCCTCACTGCAGGCTGAGGGAATCCCAGCTGCTAGGCTGTGCCCACTCCCACAGGTGCATGCGTTCTATGTCAGTTCAGAGGGTGCTGCTCCGTGGAACGCCAGCCTGGGCCTCGAACGGAGCCCATGTGTGACCAGGGCCAGGGACACCAGCTTTTGGGGCCTCCGTTTCGTCATAAGCAAACCTCACAAGCCCATTCCAGACTGGAAGTGCAATAGGACGGGAATCAGCGCTTTGCACGAGCACAGTGGCGTTGCTTTCCAAAACTCCCACAGGCCTTTGCGCCCCCCGGCGTCTCCAGCATCACGCCTGACTTTCAGGCCTGATTCTACTCTAGTCTGAGCTGTGCTTGGGATGCGGGGTGTCCCCCAGAGGTTCGCGTGTGGGGCGCTTGGTCCCCAGGGCAGTGATGGCAGGAGGTGGTGGGCCTTTCGGGGGCGGGGGGCGTGAGACGTCATCAGTCTGGGGCCGGCTCTGAGGCACAGCAGCGGTTAAGCTGCTGCCTGCGACGCCTGGTATCCCATATGAGTGCCAGTGTTCATCGGGTAACTCAGCTTCTGATCCAGCTCCCTGCTGATGACCTGGGAAAGCAGCAGAGGATGGCCCAAGGATTTGGGTTCCTGTCACCCATGTGGAAGACCTGGAAGAAGCCCCTGGCTCCTGGCTTTGACCCGGAGCAGCCCCAGCCATTGCTGCCATTTGGGGAGTGAACCAGAGGATGAGAGCATTCTCTCTCTCTCTCTTTCTCTGTCACTCTGCCTTCCAAATAAGTAAAATGAATCCTTACTAAAAGAGAAAGAAAGTTCATCAAGTCATGGCTGTGCCTTCCCAAGTGCTTGTCCTGTTTTTTTCCCCCTTGGTGTGTGTCCTCCTCTCACAGGAAGTGCAAAGATGGGGTGCTCTCGTGATGAGGCACAACACGCGTGTGCGCTGGACGAGGGGCAGAGGGCAGCAGGACGTGGCTGCACAGGCGAAGCCAGCGAGGCCCTTTCTTGCCTTCCATCCTGGCTGTGCAACCAGGGAAGCTGCCCTGGGGTGGGGACCAGACCCGGGAGGAGCTGGGCCTGGTGCCGGCCGGCCTGTCCTCCTCACGGCCGGCATCGTCCCTGTCCTCAGGGACCCAACAGGCACAGCCCTCGTGCTCTGCATGCCTGCCTTGGAGTAGCTGGCTGGCTGCTGTCTCCAGGGGGCCCTGTGCCCAAACGCTGCTGTCAGGCTCCACCAAACAGCACTTCACCGAGGAAAATAAAGCCGAAGACAAACTCGCTGAGATGGAGTTGCACTTGTGAGTTGTCTGAGCAAGGTTTTCATTTTTTTTGTTTACACTGTGATTTTTTTAAGTACTTTGACATACCGAATCTCATGGGGCTCTTTCAAACCTGTGTCGAGAAGAGAACTGTCACCCTGGAAAGGTGACTTGTTCTCTGATCACCATGGTGTATTAACTGGTGACTATCACTTGAGACAGTTTGGGATAACAGTATACCTCTTCCTTTTTATGTAATCAAGACAGGAAAATATCCCATCTGTTGATTCACTCCTCCAATGGCAGCTATGGCTGGGGCTGGGCCAGGGTTGCAGCCAGGAGCCTAGAACTCAACCCAGGTCTCCCACATGGGTGGCAGGGGCCCCTCTCCTAAGCCATCCCTGCTGCGCCCCGGGGTCTACATTGGCAGCACACTGGGGCCAGGAACCAGGGCTGGGGGTCACACGCAGGTGCTGCCAGTGGCGCTCAGGCACCCTAACTCGTGCCTTAACTGCTGGCTAAGCACCCACCGCTGTCTTCAGTTTCAACTCAGTCTTTTTCCTCGTGAGGAAACAGCCTGGGTGGCCTTGAGAAACGAGGTTCGTGGAAAATGTTCGTTATATAAACGATTGCATGAATTTTAAAATTCTTTTGCACCAAAAAAAAAAAAAAACCACCCTTATGTTTAGATTCCGTTATTCCATGAACTTTTTGAAGTCCTCCCACATGTGACAGAACTGGAGGGAGGGGGATTGAGTCTGTGTTTTCTGATGAAGTTCAATGCCAAACCCCGTGTGATACCCCATGGCACGGACGGCACCGCCCACAGCTAGCACAGTGGTTACGACCCAGGAACCCCAGGCAGAGAGCAAATGTGTTCACTCAGCCTGAGCCACTACCTGCTTAGCTTCATCAGGGCAATGTCCGCTCGCGAGGGCTCCAAGAACAACTTGGCCACGTCTATGTCCTGAACGTCCAATTCCAGATTCACTTCTTTGTGTGCGCCCAGGATGACTCTGTATGCTGAAGGCCTTGGGTACCTGGGGACCATGGTGACAACAGAATCAAACGGTGAGTGTGGCCCAGCCCCTTCATCAAGTGCCCACCTGCGCCGCCACCCTGCCTTGTCCGTCTGGCAGCCCTGGCGCCTGGCTTCCGAGTGGCGAGAAGCAACATTTACAGCTTGCCTGCCCCTGGCACTTAGGGAACGTTCTCAGGGCTGCTTGGGGGACAAGCCCTGTCCTGCTGTTTCTCCGGGCTTACCAAGTCGCCCACGCTGGGTCTTTCTTGTGCACTTTCTTTCTAGAAACACGCCCCTCCTCTCTCATCTGGTTGCCCTGGCATTTTGTCACAGGTTTCTGCACAGCTCTCCCTGGCCCCTGTGTCACTGCCATGGAGCGGGAGAGGGAAGGGGAGGGAGGAAGTCTTTTTAAAGGGACCCCATAGCACCTGGCCCCTCACGCACTTTTCCAGGCAGTGGGCAGCGGTCAGCACCCACTCGGGGGCTATGAGAGTGCCTCCGCAGAAGTGCTGTCCAGTCCTGGGAAGAGAACAAGTCGAGGCGTTAGTACAGAGCCCGTGGAGATTCTGTTCCGCTGTTCACCCTGGCTTCCGCCTGTGCCGCTGCTCCCACAGAATAAAGCTAGCGGCCCACGGGGATGGGTGCAAATCCGGGCTGTGCCTCAGGAGTGAGATTTTCCCGGAGGTCCCACCCCCACCACTGTGTACAGATGGCCGGCGAGGCTGAGGCACTGCCCGGTGCCAGCTAACTGGCTCCGACTTGAAGGCCTCCATCCGCGGCTTGGACCCAAGTGTCCAATGGAAGTGACAGAGCGAAGTCCCCTCCTCGCGGGCTCGCCCCTTTGTGCAGGGTCAGTTGACTCCTCCAGGAGCCCACGTGTGCTCTTCATGGGAGCTCGCTGGGTTCTGCCCGACAATCTTTACTTTGGCACAATGTCCCCTAAGTCGCTTCCTGTCCTGGATTGCTTAGGCCTGCGGTCGCTCCTCTGAGCCAGAGCGGCAGGAAGAGGAAGGCAGAGGGCAAGTGCATGGCTGTGGCCTGCTGACCAGCTCATCTGGAAACTGACCACTAGGGGAAGGCTCTGCGTAGCAAGGCGTGGCCGGAGGAGAGGAGAGGACGCTGGGCAGCCAAGCTCGTCCACGGTGTGTCACAGGCTGACGGGGGGCGAGGCGGCGCTTTAGCGAGAATTGTAAGGAACACAAGGACGCCAAGCCAGCGGGCAGACGGTCGCACGTGTGCTTAGTGAGAGATGCTCAAGGAAGCAGAATCCTCGCAGGCATATTCCCCCGAAACGGTGACCCCCACTCTCCAGGTCAACTGAATGCCCGCATGTGTTTGTTCTCGTGCTCCGGCTGGGAGAGCGGCCACCGCATGCAGCCCCGTGGCGCACACCGGTGCACACGCGGCGGCCCCCAGACCCTGTGGGCACGGGCCAGCGGTACTGGGGCCTGGTGGCAGCCACTGCTCCCAGGGATTTCAATGAGAACCGACCAGACCAAGAGAAAAGAAGCTCTGTCTGGTCACTTTGAAGGAGAGAGCCTGGAGAAACCGCATTGAATTTGTAAAGGTCTTTCCCTCCGCCGCTGTGTGGGCTCAGGGAGCGGAGAGGGGGCTCGCGGGGGTCCCAAGGGAGGGCGGCAGAGGCTGGGCTTACCGTGTCCTGAGACTGATCTGCCAAGGCCAGGAGTGTGGGTTGGCCACACACCCGCCGACCACCCTTCCCGGACACTTCTTCGGCTCCACCTTGGGCTTCCCACAGTCATAGGAAGAGGAGGAAGCTGTGGCACAAAGCGGGAGAAGTGCAGGTGAGCCAAAGGAAGTGATTGCGTGATTGCGCCATCTGCTTCAAGACAAACCCACGCCTCGTGAACTTGACAGGCATCGTCTGGGATACTTCCTCCAAGTTTCCAGGTGCAGTGGACAGCCAAGAAGCCCCTCTCTCAAGGCAATCCAAGCCCATGCCATTATTTCGTCGGAGGAGTGACAAAATAAACTGGTGTGGCTTGGAATCAGAAAGGAGCTGTTTGGAGAGGACTCGACTGGCACACGTAGTTATTTGTCATTGTTGCTTGATGTCAGGTTTATCATCAGCGTGTGATTCCCACCAACAACACCACCTAACGCAGTGCCATGGGGCCAGCCTTCTCACCTTGCCTTGCCATCACCTCCCACCTGCTCTCCCTCTCATGACACTATAGCCTGCAAGCTTCCTAGAGGGTAGGGGTGATGTCCCATTTGGGAGCTACAGTGTTTAAAATGTCTCTCATTGTCCGCCACCCTCCAGGGTCTTCGGAAACATAAACGCGAGCTGCTGTTAGTAACAATGGCAGGAGGACATTATTTCAGTCCTGACCAGTCGGAGACTCTGTACTCTATCAAATCTGGGAACCGAGTTTCCCAAATAACTTGTCATTTGCCATGGCTAGTTCTGAGACTCTTTATATAGTCATCTTTGTTTTTTGTTTTTTTTTTTTCAAGGAAACATGCAATGTGATGAAATTACTCTTTCCAATACTGAGCCCAGTATCTGCTGTGGTGTCTTGTATGCAGCAGATGTGCGCAAAGGAAGGGGAGGGGAGGGGAGGGGAGGGGAGGGGAGGGGAGGGGAGGGGAGAAACTTACCACACTGAGGGACGTCACAGTAGTCGTAAAGCTTCCTTGGGTTCATCGTGTAGCACCAGGGGCCGTTGGTGTCACCATCAGGATTACGGCAGTACTGGGAAAAAGCAGGCATTTGAGACACGGCTTGCATGGGACAGAGAAGGGACGAAGCACTCCATGGCAGACACCTCACTTTGGTCAACTTTTTTTTTGGGGGGGGGGCACAGTTATTTTTCCAGATGCTTGTTGCGATGGTTAAAGTCGGGTGTGGTCGTGAGTGGGTTCCGGGATAACTAGGCACGCAGGTAGCATTCCTTGGGTGTGTCTGGGAGGTTTCCCAATGGGACTAGCAGGTGCGCACAAGTGGCCCGGGTGGGCAGACCTGGCCTGTGTGTGGGCAGCACCAGCTGTAGGCTGGGGGTCTGCAGAGAGCAAACACGGAAGGTGGCCTGGGCTCCGAGAGCGGGGTGCACTTGACTCCTGGCCCGGCCCGCAGAACACGGGGCCTGGGGGGCTCTGGGCTCCGGCTCGCACCCCAAGGCCCCGGGCCCGTGCTCCGGCTTTCAGCACCCAGAGAGCCATGCCCTTGGCCTCGCCCACTCCCAGGCCAGAGACGTGGATGGAGCCACACCGCCCGCGTCCCAGGGCCTGCAGCCTGCCGGCGCCCATCGTGGGACTTCTCAGCTGCCACAGCCACACAAGCCGCTTCCCCTAATGAGCTCGCTCCATGTGTCGATAGGCACAGCCTACCACTCTGCCTCTGGGACGAGCCTCACTAATCATGCGAAAGGCCTTTCCCTCAAAAGGAGCTCCAGCCACAGGGCCGCTCCCTGGGGCAGAGGGCAGTGGTCCTGGGGGCCTGGGGGTGGAAGATGTATGAAGTCGGGGGCATCTTCAGCAATCCAGGGCCATGGGGGCACTGCCACCATCTGCCCGGGGAAGCCTGGCTCAGCAATGCTTGTTCCCACGGAGCGTGCACCCTCCCGGGGCCAAGACACACAAGGCAGAGCCCTCCCTCTTCCTGGGCTATGGTGCTCAGCCCATTTGTCTGCGCCCACCCCATCGCCAGGCCTGGTGCAGAGGTCCTGGACCTGAGTGATACCCCCAAGGGGTGACACCTGACAGGAGCGCCTGATGCCCTCGGAGCTTCCTGGGTGTCGGCGCCATCTTCCATCCCAGCAAGGCCGCTCTGCAGGGGCTTCCCGATGGGGGCTTTGCCAGGGGGACCAGCTACGTGATGAGAGGGTGGGGCTTCAGCTCTGCCCTGCCCCTTCCGCTGATCCCCCGAGGCCGATGATGGGAACAGTCGTGCCAACATCACGAAACCTCCATGGAAACCCAAAGGGCGAGGTCTGTAGGCCCTCGGGGTCGCTGACCTCAGGGAGGGCACCTGAGCTCGGTGCCTCTCCCACACACCCTCTCTGCGCGGCCTCCCATCCAGCTGTACACCTGTGCTTTGAGACACAGCCTTTGTAATTCACGGGTCAACAAAGACCCATTTCCTTGAGTTCTGTGAGCTGCTCAGGCAAACGAACCAAACCCAGGAGCTAAGGGAGCTCTGATTGACAGCCCACCAGAGGCACAGGTCACAGCCTGGAACTGGTAGCTGGCCCCTGAAGTGGGGACCTGCACCCGACCCCTGTGGGGTCCGACACTCCCTCCAGGTAGACAGCGTCAGTCACAGGAGGCCCAGCAGGTGTCCCGTGGAGACTGTGCTGAGTGGTCTGTGAGCGCAGACGCCAACTTTGGCTTTTCCTGTGTCCTAGACCCCCTGGAGAGTGGTGAGACCCAGGGGAACCCACTGTGTGGAGTCCTGATGGCCCCACTCCATCTTTTCTAGACAGTTCGGCCAAAATGTCACCCAGGGCATCTTCGGTCACTGGAAGCTGGGGGCGGACACTGGACGCGACAGAGCAGAGCAGAGCGACACCCAGGGCAGGAGGCTGCAGCATGGCGCCCTGGCTGCCTGTGCTCACTGCCAGACGCCCTCTGCAGGGGCTTCCTCCCCAGCCTTCCCCCAGCACCAAAGACCAGTCCAGGCCGACTTTCGCCGACACGAGGCCGGTCGGTCTGCAAAGACAGCTCAGCGAGAGGCCGAGCCAGGCGGCCAGCACGGAGGCTTACATTGCGCTCCAGACCTGCGCGTGGGTTTGTCTCGGGCGTGAAGATGTTGTGCCTGTGGGGCTCCTGCGCAGCCCACCCCTGGCAGGGGGTGCCGTCGGCCGTGGTCGCCTTCTTGCCCCGATATCCTTTCCCGTTGCCAAACATGCAGTCTGCCGGAGACAAAGTGGGCGGTTGTGTGCCACTGTGTGCAGACCCCGGCCCACAGGGACCACCACAGGGACCACACCCAGATCGCTGGGTTTCTGTGAGCTGCCAGACTCAGGGCCACAGCACCCCAGGCCCAGATGATTGATAGTCACTGGGAAGCCTGTGTGTTTTAAGAAATGACCAGAAGCACTCATTGCCTTGGAAATAGCCACGAATTAAGCCAGGGGTTGGAATGGGAACGCTGTCTGGGATGCCACCACAACCAACTTCAGAACAAGGTTGCGGGAAGAGAGAGCCCCTGGAAGCCTCGCCCAGTTCCTGGAGGAGCTGCCCAGCGTGCTTGTGCCAACAGCAACGGCTCTGCCCCCTACGGGTGTGTGGGGGCTCCGTCCACAGGGCACAGCCTCAAGGTCCCTGCGTCCAAAGGCTGCCCCAAAGTCCCCCACTGCCGAATCCCGGCTGCAGGCTTCTCACCTGGCTCAAAAGTAGCCTCCGGCCTGGGGAGCTGGGCCGTGGGTACAGTGGCTGCCGGGCTGGCGGCCGGCTCCGAGCACCTCCGCAGGTTGCAGTATTCCCATCTGACGCTCGGGTCGGTGGTGTAGCACCACGGGCGGATGTCATCGTCGGGGTTCCTGCAGTAGTTCATTGTCAGGTCCCTGTCAATCCCAAAGCAGCACCGGTTACCAGGGCTGGGAGAACCCTCAGGGGGCCCTGCACCCCCTGGATTTCATCAAAGTGTGAACAAGACACGTCGAAATATTCCTATTAAAGGCGTAACAGCAGCACAGGCACAGCTGGTCCCAGCTTCTAAACACCTGTCGAGTGCCAAGGACACACTAGCACTTCTACTTCTTTCTTTAAAATTATTTTTTTTATTGGGGCTGGCGCTGTGGCCTAGTGCGCTAAGCCTCCGCCTATGGTGCCGACATCCCATATGGGCACCAGTTCAAGTCCTAGCTGTTCCACTTTCAACCCAGCTCTCTGCTGTGGCCTGGGAAAGCAGCAGAAGATGGCCCAAGTCCTTGGGCCCCTGCATCCGCATGAGAGACCTGGAAGAAGCTCCTGGCTCCTGGCTTCTGATCAGCCCAGCTCTGGCTGTTGCTATCGTTTGGGGAGTGAACCAGTGAATGAAAGACCCACCGACCTCCTTCTCTCTCTCTCTCTCTCTCTCTCTCTCTCTCTGTGTATGTGTGTACGTGTGTGTGTGTGTGTGTGTGTGTGTAACTTTACCTCTCAAATAAATTTTAAAAACTTCTAAAAAAAGATTTTATTGATTTGAAAGAGTTACACAGAAAATGGGAGAGAGAGAGAGAGAGAGAGAGAGAGAGGTCTTCCATCTGCTGGTTCATTCCCCAAATGGCTGCAATGGCCAGAGCTGGGCCAGGCCTAAGCCAGGAGCCAGGAATTTCATCAGGTCTCCCACGTGGGTGCAGGGGCCCAAGCACTTGAGCCATCTTCTGATGCTTTCCCAGGTGCATCAGCAGGGAGCTGAATCAGAAGTAGAGCAGCTGGGTCTCGAACCAGCACCCATATGGAATGCTGGGGTCTCAGGCAGTGACTTTACACTCTGTGCCACAATGCCGGCCCCTATCACTTCTATTTCTAAAAAATCAAAAGCACTCCATATATAAAAGCTGAAACAATCCATATGGAAATATGTGGAAGAACATTCTAGAATATCCTCCTTCCACATTCTGCTAAACACCTCTTCAGACTGAGCTGGTAGCGATTTGCCAGGGTCATTTCAGAGTCTGTATGCACACGCAGATCTCCCCATCTGTATCTCTCTGCGGATGAATAAGTAGGGGTGTGTGACTTGGAAATAAAATGTCCTTCCCCAAAGAAGACATGCCTACGAGATGATAACACTCCCCGGCTGGCTCTCCTGGTGCACTGAGTTATAACGTAGCTAAAATACTGTATACTTACAACGATATTACTATAAATACCATTTCATGCAGATCAAGAGGGTTTGGTCTGAAAAACACGGGAAAGCTGGCCTGGAAATCGAGCTGGTGGGCAAGATCTTGTTCTGCAGAACGAACACTTTTGTGGGCAGGAATCCACCCTGCTCTCAGCCCATCGTCTGCCAGCTGCAGCCGCTCGGCGACCAGGGAAGGGGGTGAGAACAAAGATAAGACAGGCTTAGGGGTACCGGGAGATGTCTGGGTGGTCCAGGACGTCTGAGGCTCTAAACAGGAATGCAGGGGTCAGAGAAAAATTGGAGAAGGCGTCGCAGCTGCGGAGGCTGGGGGTACTGGAGCACTCGGTCCGCTCAGCCCCCTGAGAACATCACCCCAGCCTCCCAGAATCCTCAGCCTCAGAAAGCTCTCCATGGTCCAGCGTCACAGTTCTGATGCAGAAAACTTGAAACTTGATGAGTTTTGATGGACACGACTAGCTGCGTAATCCACACACCTGTCACGATGTAGAACATCCCAGCACCCAAGAAAGCTCCCCACGGCACAGTTCATCTCTAGTAGCCTGCTCTCCGAGGCCATGCCACTGGTTTCTTCCACCATAAGTCAATATTGCCCCTTCTAGAACCTCATAGAAACGGGCTCAGCCAGAATCTACATTTCTGTGTCTGGCTTCTTTCCTTAACATAACAGGCTAGCATGCCATCCGTGCCACACGAGCGCGTTGACAGCTGCTTCCTTTTTGTTGCGGAATAGTGTTCTGGTGTGCAATACACCACAAAGTGCTTGTGCATTTTCTTATTGACAGACTCTGATGGTTGGAGACTATGACGAAGTTCCTTGTAGAAAACCAGCCTTGGGGACTGTTCTCATCTCCCGGGGCAAACACTCAGGAAAGGGACTGCAGGTGTGCAGCACAGACGCGTGCGACTTTCACTTAAATATCAGTCATCAGACTGATTTCCAAAGGGGTTGTTGCACTTCACAGGAGGACCAGCCTCACTCTGCGTGCTTGCCATCACTTCTCGTTGTCTGTCTCCTAAACAGCAGCCGTGGGGCCGGCACTGTGGCGCAGCGGGTTAAAGCCCTGGCCTGAAGTGCCAGCATCTCATATGGGCACCAGTTCTAGTCCCGGCTGCTCCTCTTCGGATCCAGCTCTCTGCTACAGCCTGGGAAAGCATAGAAGATGGCCCAAGTCCTTGGGCTCCTGCACCCACGTGGGAGACCTGGAAGAAGCTCCTGACTTCAGATAGGTGCAGCTCTGACCACTGTGGCCATCTGGGGAGTGAACCAGCGGATGGAAGACCTTTCTCTCTGTCTGTCTCTACTTGTCTCTGTAACTCTTTCAAATAAAATAAAAATCTTTTAAAAAAAACAGCAGCTGTTTCTGTCAGGGTGGCGGTAGCTCGTTACTGCTGGTATTGGTTCTTTTGTGGCTGAGGTGTGGAGCGTTCCTCTCAGGAGTTGGCTGGCCATGTGTTCATCGTTTGTTGTGACGCCTATCTGAGCAGTTGCCCGTGTGATCAGGCTGTTGGTCCTGTTATTAGTGAGGGGAGGGGAGGGGTACATGCCGTGTGCAAGCCGTTTGTCAGACACATGGATTGAGAGGGGTTTCCTCTCACTTTGTGACTTGCCCACTTATTAACTTGTGATTTTTCTTTTCGTTTATAGTTAATGTTTCCTGGGTCGTGCCTAAAAAGAAGTTGCCTTCCGCACAGTTGTGAAAATGTTCTTTTAGGCCTTGTCCTAGAAGTTCTGTCTCTCAGCTTCAGTCTGAGACCTACCTTTGGGTCCAAGAGGTCTCTGAAATTAACAAGTGAAGATGAAGGCAGGGGGCAAGGCTTGGCGTTGTGTCTGTTTGTGCTCTACGGACACCCAGTGGTTCTGAAGTCATTTTGGAATGAATTGATTTGCCGTCTGTATGGGAAGCTGGTTGGCCCTGTTTATGGAGGTCTGTCTTTGGGCCATTGCTTTTCATGTTTGAACACCATTGCCAACACCATAGTGTGCTGATTATTGTACGTTTATACATCTTTAAGTCAGGGCATGGAAGTCCTCCAACTTCAGTCTTCTTTAACATTACCTTGGGGATTCTAGGACCTGTGCATATAAAGTTTGCCACTTTCTCCAAAGGAGGGGGGGGAGAGAGAGGGAGAGAGAGAAGAAGAAGAAGAAGAAGAAGAAGAAGAAGAAGAAGAAGAGGAGGAGGAGGAGGAGGAGGAGGAGGAGGAGGAGGAGGAGGAGGAGGAGGAGGAGGAAGAGGAAGAGGAAGAAGAGGAAGAAGAAGAAAAGGAGAGAGAGAGAGAGAGAGAGAGAAAGGTGGGGCTGGCATTGTGGTATGGTTGGTTAGGCCGCCGCCTGCTACACTGGCATCCCAAATGGGTGCTGGCTTGAGTCCCAGCTGCTCCACTTCCAATCCAGCTCCCTGTGAATGCTCCTGGGAAAGCAGTGGGGAATGGCCCAAGTGCAGGATGAAGTCCCATTTAGGCTCCGTAAGCAGTATTCAGGATCCCAGAGAACTTTGCTCTTTGTGGTTTACTCCACAATTAGCGCACTCAAAGCTCAGACTGAACACAATCACTCCCGCTTTCTTTTGGTACGTGTCTTCATGGCGTATTATTTCTATACTCTGGTTTCTGACCTATGTCGTAAGTTATATTACAGTAAAGATTGTCTGCTGGTGGGGCTGACTTAGTGGTGCAGGGGGTTAAGCTGCTGCCTACGACACCAGCATCCCGCACCAGTGTGGTTTGAGTCCTGGCTGCTCTGTTTCCTATCCGGCTCCCTGCTAATGCGCTTGGGAAGGCAAACGATGACCCAAGCTTGGGACTCTGCCACCATGTGCAGTTCCAGGCCCCGGCTTCTGCCTGCTCTGGGACTGACTGTTGGGGCCGTCCGGGGAGTGAACCAGCAGGTGGAAGATGCCCTTGTCCATCTCTCCCTCTCTGTCACGCTGTCTTTCCAATAAATAAGTCTGTTTTTTAAAATCATCTATTGGAAAGAGTACATAAGTGCATTTTGGGTTTAATTTAACTGGAAAATCTGGGCCTTTTAATTGGAGTAGTTAACCCTTTCACATTTAATAATCTTATGATGTGGCTGTTTATTATAATGCTCTGATATTCTAGTTGTACAATATCTCCTTTATTCTTTTGAATTAATTATTTTTATCTATTCCTCAAGGGTTTTACAATATCCATTGTTAACCTATCCCCTTCAACTATGTATTTTTTTTTTAAAAAGTTTATTTTATTTATTTGAAAAACAGAGTTACAGAGAGAGTTAGAGACAGAGAGAAGTCTCCCAGCCGCTGGTTCACTCCCCAGATGGCTGCAATGGCCGGAGCTGCGCCGATCCGAAGCCCGGAGCCAAGAGCTTCTCTGAGTCTCCCACATGGGTGCAGGGGCCCAAGGACGTGGGCCATCCTCCACTGCTGTCCCAGGCCACAGCAGAGAGCTGGATCAGAAATGGAGCAGCTGGGACTCGAACCAGTGCCCATATGGGATGCTACTGCTTGTAGGCCAGGGCTTTAACCCTTTGTACCACAGCACCAACCCCTCAACTATGTATTAATATTTATATAACTTTATGGCTAATGTAAGAAACCTAAAATAATATACTTGCATTTATCCCTTCTGTTATTCATGTGACAATGTTCATAATTTTACAAATATTGAAATTACACATTGTTATCACCTGCTTCAAGTAGTCACTTATTTCTTCAAGAAGTGAAGAAATGGGTAAGTCTCTATGTTTAAACTCATATTCATTGTGTACATGGTTCTACATTACTGAATATAGATTTAAGTTTCTATCTAGTATTATTTTTTATCTACTTACATTGCTTTCTTTAAAATCTTTTATAGTATAGGCCTATTGATAAATTCTCTCAGTTTTTGCTTGTTTGGGGAAGGGCAGAATTTTTTAACATTAATTTTAACATTAATTTGTTTTTAAACAAAAGTCCCATTTATTTATTTGAAAGGCAAAATGATGGAGAGACAGAGAGAGATCTTCCATTCACTGGTTCACTTCCCAAATGGCCACAATGGTTGGAGCTGGGCCAGGCCAAAGCCGTAAGCCTGGAACTCCATCTGGGTTTCCCACATAGGTGGCAGGGGCTCAGGCACTTGGGCCATCACCCAGGTGCGTTAGCAAGGAGCTGGATCAGAAGTGGAGCAGCCAGGACTCAAGAAAGTGCTCATATGGGATGCTGGCGTCACAAGGGTTGCTTAACCTGCTGTGCCACAACACTGGCCCCAAAACAAATGTAAACTGCATGAATAAATCAAAATAAAAATTCTACTTCTGATTTTCTTGAATCTGCAAGTCTATGATGTTCTTCCTATCTGGAAAAATGTAGCCAGCATTACTGCAGGTATGTTTTTCTGTGCCGGTATCTCGTTCTTCTACACTTGCTCTTAGCCTAAAGGCCGAGAAGTGGTAGTGTCTCCTTCTTCTGCTCTGCAACTGGTCTCACGCCTGTCAGGTCTTCTGATATTTCCTCCAGAGGCCTTTGAGGCCCTGCTGTCTCACAGTGTCTGTTTGCACTTCCGTTTGTACCTTCTGCATTGCATTACTTTTGAGTTAATTTTTTTCCTGAAATGTCTTATCCTGATGATAAGGTTATCGGGTGAATATTGGATTCAAGACATTTGCTGTGTTCATCCTTTAATTTCCATTTGGCTCTTTTATAACTTTCCATCCTCTTGATAGTGTCCGTTTGGTTTTTATGCTCATATCCTCATTTAAGTCCTCGAAAAAAAATATGTTTTTACTTCTTTTTCTGCCAAGTTGATCATTTCTGTCGATTCTAGTCTGTGTATAGCAACTGATTTCGTCCTGGGCATGAACACATGAGCTGTTTTTAACCACTTGAGCTGTTTTGCACGTCTGGGAGATTTTAGAGCTTCCGGACGCGTGATGGGGCACCCCGACTTCGTTGTTTGTCTCTAAAGAGTGTTCAGTGCTCTTCCTGCAGGAAGCCAATCTACTTGGAGCGCCTTCTGACCCCTCAGGCTTTGCTGTAAGCTGTGCTGGGTGTTAACAGAGCAGCCCTTACTCTGGGAACGCATTGCCCCATCTCCACCGTGTATCCTTCCACTGACACGTCAGGATGCTCAGAGCACCGCCACCTCCCTGCTGTGCCGGTTCTGTAATCACGGAGCTCATGCTCCCCTCTGACGGCTCTTCCCCCAGGACTGCTCTTGGTCCCACTGGTGTGGTGGAATCTCCCTGTGCCTGCGCAGCCACGTCTTCAGCCAAAGACCCAAGGGGGCCTGTGCACATTCCTGGGGCTCCCTCTCACCACAGAGCCTTTCTCGTGACTGCCCCTCCCAGAAACGACCACCATGATGCCTCAGAAATCGCAAACTGCAGTCCCTGCCCAGTTCAGCCTGAGTGCTGTCGTCTGCTTTGGCTTCAACTCCGCCCTCTTCAGACCAGGAAGTGTCTCCATGGAGAAAGCTGGGGTCACCATGGCCCTGCAAGGTCCCAGTCCTACTGCCTGTGGTTCACTGGGATCAGTTACGGCAGGAAGCCTGCACTGGTCAGACCCGGTCTCTGTCCATCTCTCTGCCCATTTTACATTTCAGCATCTGAATACATCAGCCGTCCTGTTTTTCCTCTCCTCGTCCCGGCCTGTCTATATCTCTCAGGTCATTGGTACCCAGGACCAGGTCAGACAGATAAAATACATAATGTATTATATGGGTGTGTGTTATTTTATATAATATATTAGAAGGATAGATATAGGTAAGTAGGTAGGATAGATGGATGGAAGGATGAATGGATGGATAGATAATAGATATAGCTGATAGAAAGATAGATAGATAGATAGACAGACAGATAGACAGATAGAAAGATAGATAGATGTTGACTTGTAACCCAAGACACAATGGCAAACACAAACTCCAGGGCTTGGAGGTTGCAACGACAGGATTCTGCAGTTCAAGGATTACATTGGCCCTTGGTGGGTGTTATGAAAATGCAGTTTCTAAGTTTTTGCCATCCGTCCTCCTGAGCTTTCCGCTAGTGTGACGTCACCTCCTCCACACCCCCAGCGCTTCCACAAAACCATCCAGGAAAAGCAGGAAGAGCCTTCCCAAGACCCTGCACTCAAAGGCAAGAGTGCTGACACATCTTGCCGCCCGTTCTGGCGATTTGACAGAAACCTGGTCCTAAGACGTGAGCTTGGAGCACGGCTCTGCTAACAAAGACCAAGGTTGGCTAGCGCTCCTCTCACAGTGCAAAGCAAAGACATACGCATTCGGGTAGTTCTGTGGGGTCCTCTGATGCCGGTGTGGTGTCATCGACAGCCAAGACTGGCATTTCCGCCCTGTGATGGTGGTGGATGACGTCCCTCGATAGCTCTGCCCGTTGCCCTGGTAGCACTCCTGGACCACGGGGGTTTCCTCGGGTGGTGCTGCGATGGAAACACAAGAAAGCAGGCTGAGCAGCGAGTGGGCCGGAGAGAGAAGCGGAGCAACTTTGGACACGACAGCGCTGTGACTGCCAGTGCCACAGCTGTTCTCCTCTTGTACCGACAGGCAGGCAGGCACCCCACGCAAAGACTGCTGATCTAGAACCTGAATGACCCTTCTGGGAAATACATAAAACTCAGCAAAAAGAAATGCACTAATGAGAGGTTTGTAGCAGGACATCAGACTCCTGTGCACACTCATCTCTAACTCTCTAGAGGCTATTATGAGCACAACAGAGCAGAGACCAGAGGGAGGTGTGTTCAGTGGCACAGACTGTAGGTGGTGGGTGGTTGTCAGTGGGGACAGACATGAGCACAGGCTGTAGGTGGTGGTGGTTGTCAGTGCGACAGACATGAGCACAGGCTGTAGGTGGTGGTCAGTGGGGACAGACATGAGCACAGACTGTAGGTGGTTGTCAGTGGGGACAGACATGAGCACAGGCTGTAGGTGGTGGTGGTTGTCAGTGCGACAGACATGAGCACAGGCTGTAGGTGGTGGTGGTTGTCAGTGGGGACAGACATTAGCACAGACTGTAGGTGGTGGGTGGTTGTCTGTGGGGACAGACATGAGCACAGACTGTAGGTGGTGGTGGTTGTCAGCGGGGACAGACATGAGCACAGGCTGTGGTGGTGGTCACTGGGGACAGACATGAGCATAGACTGTAGGTGGTGGTGGTTGTCTGTGGGAACAGACATGAGCACAGGCTGTAGGTGGTAGTGGTTGTCAGTGGGGACAGACATGAGCACAGACTGTAGGTTGTGGGTGGTTGTCAGTGGGGACAGACATGAGCACAGACTGTAGGTGGTGGTGGTTGTCAGTGGGGACAGACATGAGCACAGACTGTAGGTGGTGGTGGTTGTCAGTGGGGAAAGACATGAGCACAGACTGTAGGTGGTGTGTGGTTGCCTGTGGGGACAGATTTGAGACCCCTGCCCGCACTATTCCCCAAGCTCTTTGCTCACCCAAAATCAGAGCTTTGGAGGAAAGGGGCAGGAAATGGTCCCTTGTCTAAGACTTTGTGCAAAGATCCACCATTCCTGGGGAGAAGTAGAGGCACAAGTCTCAATTCCCAGGAGGAGAGGCAGGACTCATCCCCTGTGCCCAGGATCCTGTGCCGACCAAGCCCAAGTCTGTGGCTCTGACACACAAGCACCACCACAGGCACAAGTTCCAAGGGAGGGAGGAACAGGGTCACTGGGTGTGCAGAGCCTGCCCAGGGCTGAAGGTGGACCAGGAGAGAGCATCTGCCCACCTCCACCCAGAGCTTGACAGAGTGTGTAAGAACCGGTCATGTGTTGCTGGGCTCAGTGAAGTGGAAGGAGAGACTCTCTCCGTGTTGCAGGCATGCAGTGACCACTACAGGCTGAAAAGGGGTCAGGGCACTGAGCAAACCCTCGGCGCCCATCACTGGAGGAATGGAAAGGCTGTGGTGCACTTATGGGGAAAGTGGCAACAACAAAACCAAACTCAGTTCATCTCCCGGCTCCGGGGACTGCATTCCCCGCGCAGCGTGCTGACAAAAGGGATTTCCTGTCAAAGCACACGCTCTCTCCACTGCGGTCTCCTCTGATCCTCTATGCAAACTGTCCATCAGTTCATAAAAAGCACAGACGCCACAGGGGAAGAAGCCACTGTTGGGTGTAAAGCAATCCACAGGGCCCGACGCAGAGATGACGCATCTAGAAACCATCAGATGGGAACTGGGAGACAGCCATGACTAGGCAATCAAAGGATCCTGTGGTCAAAGCAGGCAGTTTGCATGGATAGCTCGATAATCTCAGCAAAGTTTTAAAAAAGAGCAAAATGGCAATGCAAGAACCAAAATCCATGGTATCAGAGGTAAAAACAATCCTCAGTGGGCTGTTTAACCAATGAGACACAACTGGGGAGATTAATCAGTGAACTGGAAAACAGGCAGACTGTCACACAAATAGAAACAAGGAACAGGTGGAGAAATAGCAGAATATTTGTTTTATATATTTATATTAGGAGTATGACAGCATTTAAAAGGATCTAACGTTTGGGCACATGGAATCTGAAACAGAGCATGGATACAGAAAAAGGGAAAGGAACTATTTGAATACAGGTGAGTACTGAAAAGTGAAATTAAGAGGTAAATTCATTTGGCACAAAAAGTTGGTATCTGTGCAGTTTTTGCATCATATGCATTCTCCATGAACTTTCTGAAGCTAGCTCACACAATGGCTGAGAACTTCACAAAGATAACGAGAGCTCACAATCCGTAGCTCCAGGAAGGTCAGAAAGCCCCAGGCAGGCGAATATGAGAGGAATACACAGACACGAGACACAGCACCGTCAATGGTGAGAAACGAAGCAAAGCTGAGGAAGCCCCACGGGCAGCCGGAGAAAGACAGCCACGGAGACACAGGAACGAGGGGCCGCGGGGAAGGTTCCTGTCGGAAGCTGCGCAAAACAGAAGGTACTGAAGCAGCATCTTCAGAGTGGGAAAAGAAATAACCCGTCATCTAGTATCCATACTCTGCAAAGCTGTATTTTAAAACTGAAGGCAGTGGCCAGGGTTTTGGCATAGTGGTAAAGCCGCTGCCTACAGTGCCGGCATCCCATGGGTGCCAGTTCGAGTCCCAGCTACTCCACTTCCGATCCAGCTCCCTGTTATGGGGAAGCAGTGGAAGATGGCCCAAGGGTTTGGGCCCCTGAACCCATGTGGGAGACCTGGAGGAAGCTCTGGCTCCTGGCCCCTGGCCCAGTGGTGACCACTGTGGCCATCTAGGGAGTGAACCAGCGGATGGAAGATCTCTCTTCATCTTTCCCTCTCTCTCTCTTTCAAAATAAGTAAATAAACCCTTAAAAAATCCTGAAGGCAAAATAAAGGCTTTTTCAGACATACAGAAGCAGAAGGACTTCGTCCAGTAGACCCGTGCGACAAGAATGGCAGAAGATCCACTTTTTTTTAAAGAAGGAACAATGGTATCTGAGCACCAGATGGAAGTTTGGATTTACACAAAGAAATGAGGAGCTACAGAAATGGTTGAATAAAACAATGAAACACCAAAACATCTTTATCTATGATCACTTTAAGGCACACCTGACCATTCAGGGCAGCCATAGCATCAGGGTGCTCAGAGATTTGTATCCTACTGGAGGAAAGCACCTATTAGAACAACAGCACCGCCCCTGGGCAGGGAGGGAACAGCAGCACAGTGTTCTAGAACAACAGTGCTTGACTGTGGGGTGTGATGCGTTCAAGACGGATAAGGCAGGGGCTGGCCGCTGCGGTGTAGCAGGTAAAGTCACCGCCTGGGGTGCCTGCATTCCATATGGACGTCAGTTGGAGTCCTGGCTGCTCCACTTTGGATCCAGCTCTCTGCTGTGGCCTGGGGAAGCAGTAGAAGATGCCCAAGTCCTTGGGCCCCTGCACCCATGTGGGAAGACCCAGAGGAAGATCCTGGCTCCTGGCTTTGGATTGGTATAACTCTGGACATTGTGGCCAATTGGGGAGTGAACCAGTGGATGGAAGACCTCTCTCTCTCTCTGCCTCTCCTCTCTCTGTGTAACTCTGACTTTCAAATAAATAAATCAATCTTTGAAAAAAAATATGTATATGGCAAACTGGGAAAACACAAAATCCACTAAGATCATGGTAGGCAAGCAGTGGAGATAAAAGACAATAATAAAAATATTCAATCCTGGGCCGGTGCTGTGGTGCAGCGGGTTAATGCTCTGGCCTGAAGAGCAGGCATCCCATATGGGTGCCAGTTCTAGTCCCGGCTGCTCCTCTTCCAATCCACTCTCTGCTCAGGCCTGGGAAAGCAGTAGAAGAAGGCCCAAGTCCTTGGGCCCCTGTACCCAAGTGGGAGACCCAGAAGAAGCTCCTGGCTCCTGGCTTTGGATCGGTGCAGCTCCAGCCATTGTGGTCATCTAGGGAGTGAACCAGCAGATGGAAGACTTCTCTCTCTGTCTCTACCTCTGTCTGTAACTCTGTCTTTCAAATAAATAAAACAAATCTTTAAAAAAAAATATTCAATCCAAGTAGAGGCAGAAGAAATGAGAAAAGGAAAAAAGTTCAAATAGGAAAAAGAGAAGCAAGTGGCTTGGTGATAGATTTAAATCCAACCACACACACAGTGAATGCTAATGGCCTAAACTCCTCCATATGGAAGCTGGGAAAAATATGTCAGACAGACACTAGTGGAAAACAGAGCTGCAAAGGTTGTAGGGATCCATGACATGGAGAGACCCTATGTAATGAGAAACGGGGTCACTTTGTCACGAAGACACAACAGGCCTGTGTGTGTGCCTGACAACAGAGCTTCAACACGGGTGCAGCAAACAGAGGTAGAGCTGAAAAGAGGAACAGCCGGACGTGCCAGCCGTCCGCTGTCCGGGCCGAGAGGGGACAGGAAGCCAGGAAGCACACAGGGCGCTGACACCTGGCTTGAGCCGGCCTGGAGAGATGGCTCCTCAGCGACAGCGGACCAGTGTTGGCAAGAACACGAGACCCGTTCCCCCAGCTGACCCTTCGAAACCACACCCCGAGCCCCAGGCCACCTAAACTACGCACACAGCACGGTCTCGGACGCAGCAGAACTGAGCCAGCGAGAGCTGCTCTTGGGTGTTGCAAGGGCACCGACCTAAGGGGCGCGCTCGTTCTCCATAGAGAGAGCCTGTCCTTACCTGGGGCATCCAGGGGCTCCACGGACGTGGGCGAGGAGGCACAGGACGGGATGTCACAGTGCTCCCACCGCACCTTGCTGTCGGTCGTGTAGCACCACGGAGCCGACTCTCCATCCGGGTTCCGACAGTAGTTTTCATCCAGGTCTCTGAAAGAGGAGTGACCGTGAGCTTTGCACAGCAAAGAGGCCATGTGGACGAGGTGCCCACGTGCTCCTGGGCCGTGGGACTGGATCAGCATCCGGCTGATACTCTGGAGGGAGGCCGAGTGGCCAGCAGGACGGCTGGCGTGCAGCAGGACGCCCAGGGCTGCCGTGGAATCAGGGCCCAGGCGCTTCTCACGGGGGAAGCGTGGCCTCGCCTCTGATGGCCAGGTGAAATGGGTCCTGGCTGCGTGACGGAGCTGACTCTCCTGGGCACTTTGTACCTTCCTCCTGCCCCCAGGAGCCCGGCCTGTGCTGTGGTGTCAGTGTGCGTGAGCCCCAGTCCTCACACCTCAGGCTGCCTTGACTCAGTGCAAGTCTTGTATGTACAAATATGCTGCTGGTGTTTCTGATTCAACAGCCGTGGGGTGGGGCCCCTGAATTTGTGTTTCCAGCAAGTTCCTGCTGAGGCTGGGCTGGGAAACACCTTGAGAACTGCTACTGGGCAAATGCAGCCAAGTTCACTTCCAGAACCCTTGAACAACGGGACCCCGCCTCGCACAGCAGCGGGGGGCACTCACTTGCAGGGGAAGTTTTCCGGGGTCCTGTTGTGGAGGTGAGGGGTCTGCTCACTCCAGCGCTGACAGGTGAGCCCGGACTTGGTGCGGGCCACCTTCCCTCGGTAGCTCTCACCCCTCCCCTTCAGGCACTGGTGGGTCGGGCCAGAAGGGGGCGGGGGTGTGGCTTGAAAGAGGAAAGAAAAGACAATGAGGATCTTTAAGTAACAGGTGTGCATGCCAGTCCCACAGCTGCTGGATTCCAGGTCCTCTTCTCTTGCCCCTTGGAATTTGGCTCTTGAAAAGTGGGGGGGAGGCTGGCCCTGTGGCACAGCTGGTGGGGCCATCGCTTGCAACTCTGGCATCCCATAGAGGAGCGCGTTGGAGGCTCAGTGGCTCTGCTTCCGATCCAGCTCCCTGCTGATGTGCTGAGAATACAGCAGAAGACGGCTCAGACCTGGGTCCCTGCCTCCCACGTGGAAGACCCAAATGCAACTTCCGTCTCCTGGCTTTGGCCTGGCCCAGCCTCAGCCATTTGGAGAATGGATGATCTCTGCCTCCTTCTCTCTCTGTTACTCTGCATATCAAGTAAATGAATACATAAATCTTCAAAGCACACAGAGAGAAGTGGACCCCAGAGAGAACAGTCAAGAACCTACATTTGGAAATCTCTGACCGGAATAGAAAGAACCCGTGATAAATGGATGCTCCAAACAACTCCCCCATTCACCAACAAATGCTCCAACAGAACACAAGTGAAGTAGAGTGGCGACTGCCCCAGGCCTCCCGGGAACCATCCAGGGACCCGCCGTGTGTTCCCCCGGGGCTGGGGCGCAGTGCTGGGGTGCAGGGCAGCGCAGCCCCGTACTCACTGCAGCGCGGGATGTCACAGAGCTCCCAGCGCTTTTTGGGGTCCATGGTGAAGCACCAGGGGCGCGGCTCGCCGTCGGGGTTCCGGCAGTAATTCTTCTTCAGGTTCTTGTTGGGAAATCTGAGTGGGCGACAGGGATTTCCATGGCACTGAGCATTCACAGTCACGGAACAGTGAGCAAACAGTAGACACCTGCTGCATGCAGGACACAGTCAGGCATCCCCCACCCCCGTCTCCCGAAGAGGCGTCCTCCGAAGCTGGCCCCCTAAGAGGAAGATTGGCCCAGCACTAACAATTTGGGTCAAAATCACTGACCAGGATGTTGGCCATCTGGAAAAATCGACGAGAGCAAGTCCAGTTATTTAGCTGCAAAGAATAGCAATGTTTAAAATACAAATACACTGCCTAAAGATAGCGTCTCATACATAAAGCAGCTGGGAGGTTCATGTATTTGTATCTTTTTTTAAAGATGTATTTATGCCGGCGCCGCGGCTCACTGGGCTAATCCTCCGCCTAGCGGCGCCGGCACACCGGGTTCTAGTCCCGGTCGGGGCGCCGGATTCTGTCCCGGTTGCCCCTCTTCCAGGCCAGCTCTCTGCTGTGGCCAGGGAGTGCAGTGGAAGATGGCCCAAGTGCTTGGGCCCTGCACCCCATGGGAGACCGGGAGAAGCACCTGCTCCTGCCATCGGATCGGCGTGCTGCGCCGGCTGCAGCGCACTGGCCACGGCGGCCATTGGAGGGTGAACCAACGGCAAAGGAAGACCTTTCTCTCTGTCTCTCTCTCTCACTGTCCACTCTGCCTGTCAAAAAAAAAAAAAAAGATGTATTTATTTATTTGAGAGGCAGAGTTACAGAGAGAGAGAGAGAGAGAGAGGTCTTCCATCCGATGGTTCACTCCCCAAATGGCTGCAACAGCTGGAACTGGGCCAATCCGAAGCCAGGAGCCAGGAGCTAGGAGCTTTCTCTGGGTCTCCCACATGGATGTGGGGGCCCAAGCACTTGGGCCATCTTCTGCTGCCTTCCCAGGCACATTAGCAGGGAGCTGGATCAGAAGTGGAGCAGCCGGGACTTCAGCTGGTGCCTGTGTGGGATGCCGGTGCTGTAGCAGCTTAACCTACTACGCCACAGCGCCGGCCCGTGTCTCTGTATCTTAAAGGCATGGTCCTTCCAGGCTCCCAAGCAGCTGCTGCAAGACCTGAAGCTCAGAGAAACCGAGAGGGAGAAGCAGTGGCCTGGCCAGCGAGGGGGACCCTCTGGCTGCGGCCGGGAGCTGCAGGCTGTGCAAGGTGGCTTGGACCCTGCTTCGTGCCTCTGTCAGGGCGGCTGCGGCTTCTGCCGGCTCCTACAAGTGAATTTGCCCAGTTTGGGGCCTGGAAGCCCCCACTGTCTTTTCCCCTTGGAGGAAAATGGCAACAGCTGTGTGTCAAACTGGGCCTTTGGAACAGGAGGTGCAAACAATCGGAGGAAAGCGGTGAGTGCCCCATTTTCACGTTCTTAGAAGCCCTGCTCGTCCTACAGGCATCAGAGGGCAGAGCAGCTGCAGGAGTGGTGTTTTTCCAGCACGACGAATGTGAAATCGAATCCTCACCCACAGGTTCTGCAGCAGAGACTCCTCCCAACCCTATTCTAAATTCCCAGTCCCTTTGGAGAACTCGGTGGAAGCTACAAATCTGCAGCCCAGAAAAATGCAGGAATATCGACACACATCCAGCTGTGGGGATCCAAGGAACCCAGGCCACTTCACCTGTGGACCGTAGGTTAGGGAGCCTTGCAGCTCACGGGGTTTAAAGAAAGGAGAAGGTGAGAGTGAAGAGAAGAGGAACTCGTGTGGGAAACACACCAGCAAGACGCATCTGGACTCCTGAATCTCAGATCTTGCTGGGTGCAAAATTTCACACAACGGCAGGTCCGGTTACAAAGCAAATTCCAGCTCGGGGGGTCTGAGAGTCTGCATTTCACAAGTTCTCAGATGATGGCACCACGGCGGGTCCCAGAGACCACATCTGGACAGCGAGAGCGCCCACCGCCTGAGGACCGCCCAAAGGCGCACAGGGCAGCAGCTGCCGGAGCGAGCGGCGGCCTCCGGCCCGGGACTACTTACTTGGAAGGGATGTAGCCGTGCGCATGCGGGCTCTGCGAGTCCCAGGCCTGGCATTCGATGCCAGACATCGTCTTGGAAATTTTGCCTTCATAATTTTCTCCGCTGCAGTGCATACATTCATCTGGGCCGAGTGGGAAAGAGAAGAAAGACACCAAACAGGTCAAGCAACACGAGAGGAGAAACTAGAATCCCACTGGAAATGCCCCAAGCACCGCTTGCCACCTGTTCAGACGAGAGCACTTCAAAAGTCTGCGGAAACAGGGAATTAAAGGTGTGAGTTGATGTCGGTGCGAAATAATTTCCTAATGTGTAGAAAATGCGTATTCTGAGATTTCTTTCTTTTTAAAATGATCTAAGACCTGAAACTTTGATTAGGAATGAGGGCAGTCACGTGGTGGGGCAGAGTGCACTGCTTCGCTCATTTTTACGGAGTAAGGGAAACGAGACAGACTTGACACAAAAACGATGCACTTGGTGCCCGCAGAGGCCACATGACTGGCAACACTGGGCACAAACAAGGCCTCCAGGCCAGTCAGGCAGAGGCTGAGAGCTGAGCTGCTTTGTGGTCCGCTGGCCCAACTCTCTTTCACAGGACAATTTTTATTTTTCAGCGTGAGGGGTCCCATCAGACCAGCCGAGCCATCAAAAACCTGGATTGCTGACTTGAAACTGGTCTCGCTGCTGAGCCTGAGCTACACTGCAAACCCCACCACATTCCGCTGAAACTGCCCCAGTGTTAATCTGCTTTGGATCCAGCTCCCTGCTATGACCTGGGAAAGAAGCAGATGATGGCTCAAGTCCTTGGGCCCCTGCACCCACGTGGGAGACCCGGAAGAAGCTCCTGGCTTCTGGCTTCAGCCTGGCCAACCCCAGCCATTGCTGCCATCTGGGGAGTGAATGGGCGGGTGGAAGATGACGTTCTCTCTGTCTCCCTGCCTTTCAAATAAGGCTTTTTGTCAAAGGTGTGTATGTTGAGTACAGGTCTGGTTCTGTGTTTGTAAAAGTTGAAGTGACATTTTAATAAAGATAACCCAGATCAATACGGGGGATCCTTAGGTCCTCCCAGAGGTGCACACGTGACTCATTTCTAACTTCGTCACGCCGGCACTAATGGATCGTTCACCAGGTCCGGGGGCAGTGGCACTGACAGGCGAGGAGCAGGTGCGCTCTGCGTCCAGGGCGGCTCTCACCTTCACACTCCGGGATGTCGCAGTAGTCGAATCGCTCGTCTGGGTTGGTCGTGTAGCACCAGGGCCCCTGCTCGTCGTTGTCTGGGTTCCGGCAGTAGTTCTCCTCCAGGCCCTCCGCGGGGTACTTTTTGGGTGTGAAGCTGGGGAGGTGGGAAAGACGCCTTGGACTGTGTGCCGCAGGCAGCACGCCAGCCGCCAGCGGGCGCGGGGAGGGGCGAGCAGCCACCCTGCAAAGGCACTCCAGCTCCGAGCTGTGCATGGGGACCGTCCCCACGCGTGGCTGCTCAGGTACGGGAGCCGCCAGCACCCTGACACCCCTGCTGACAGCAGGTCTTAGGAGAAGAGCCCAAGCGCGCATTGCAGGCGGCTGGAACAGGAGCCTCCAGCCTGCCAGGTTTTCGGCTCCTTCCAAGCGCTTGTTTTTGTCTGCCTCCCTCTCTGCTGCAATGATGGTGGTTTTGTCATTTTGTCCACGTGGCGATGCGCTGAGCGTTGCAGAAAAATCTGTCTGTGCGTTCTCTCATCCAGCCCTAACAGGACCCCTCTCGAGATGATGTCAGCACCCCCACTTTCCAGATGAGAAAACTGAGTGGGGCCATGGGACACCAGACAAGATGTGGCTAAGCTCGAGCATGAAAAGGAGCGGTCAAGATTGGAAGTCTGTCTGTCTGATGCCCACGGCGGAGTCAGCCTGAATTCACGGGGTGCGGGGAGGTGAGCCAACTTTTAATTCTAGAGATGAGTTGCTGTGCAGAGATAATGAGCTAGAGAAAGAAGGGGTCTGGAGTCCAGAAAAGATCTTATTTCCGGTTCCTCTACATCCCTGAATTAGATAAACGCCTCCCTCCTGCACCCCATTTCCTCCTGAGGGTCACCTGGACCCTCTAAGCGCCTGACTCGGCCATCGGTGGAGTGGTTTCACTTTGCCTGGCAGGAAATATTCCACTGAATTCCTACTTAATAATCATCACTACTGGCACCTACTGTACCTTTCTCCAAACTGGAGGAAGTGGAAAAACAGAGAGAGAGAGAGAGAGAGAGAGAGAGAGAGAGAGAGAGGCTAAAACAAATCACCAGCCAGCTGTGGGCTTTGCGGTTCCTTTTTCTATTTCATTTTCTCGTTGGGCCCCGTTGGGATGATCCTGGTTTCCTGAGAGGAGACTTCCGAAAGTGCTCAGAGATGTGTACGATGAAGAAGCCTGCGTGTGGACTCCAAAACTGTGTTCATCAAGAATAACCTTATCTTTTCATTCCCTCCTGTGGTGGAGATCAGCGCAGCCCTGGACACGATCATCTTTGGTTTTGTTCTCAGACTCAGCTGGCGCGTTTTGCACTCCCCTTTTTTAGCAAGCCCCCTTCCGGGTTCTTCCGGAAAACTCTGGACACGGAGTGATTAGAAAGCACCCCGCGTCTGCCTTTGTGCTGATGTGATTGCACTGTTCTGCACCCACATCCTAAAGGTGCTCCCTCCATGTGTGTCCTCACGTCCTGGTTTGATCTGCGAGGACAGGGGTTATTTCACATACAGTGGGGGAACCGGCGGGCACAGAGGAGTCTTACTTTGGTTTGTGGGGGTAACTGGAGCTCCATTTCTGACAGGTGAAGCCAGTTTTCGTCTTGGACTTCGTCCCTCTGTAGCTCCTCCCGTTCCCGATCTTGCACTCTGAGAGATACACTGGAAGGAGAGCGGACAGCTGGTCACAGGGCGACATAGAATGTACCAACCAGACGCCGTTTGCCTGCTACATCAACCAGGGCGCTGCGGTCAGCGGAGCCATCCCCATTGGTTTCCTCAGGAAAAGCCGGTTACAGAGCCCTGCCGAGTGCCAGGTGCTGGGGACACACAGCGCCCCCACCTGGCGGAGGCCCTGCCCTCAGGAGCTCGCCTGCCCCTGGCGCTGGGGAGCCGTCCCAAGGACACAACTCCTGAAATGAGAGAACCTGAGCCGCATACTTTGCAGAGGCCAGAAGACCGCTGAGCCTCTTCTGCTCCCAGTCACACAGAAAGCGCCAAGCAGAGCTGTAGCATTGTGGTGGACTTGAAACGTTTATGGTGCAGCTCTCAGCCAGCCTGCTCATAACCAACTTAGCAGTTCCCGTGAGCTCAGCTGCCTTTAAAACATGATCTGGGCGGGCACCACGGCTCACTAGGCTAATCCTCCGCCTTGTGGCGCCGGCACACCGGGTTCTAGTCCCGGTCGGGGCGCCAGATTCTGTCCCGGTTGCCCCTCTTCCAGTCCAGCTCTCTGCTGTGGCCCAGGAAGGCAGTGGAGGATGGCCCAAGTGCTTGGGCCCTGCACCCCATGGGAGACCAGGAGAAGCACCTGGCTCCTGCCTTCTGATCAGCGTGGTGCGCCGGCCGCAGCATGCCGGCTGCGGCGGCCATTGGAGGGTGAACCAACAGCAAAGGAAGACCTTTCTCTCTGTCTCTCTCACTGTCCACTCTGCCTGTCAAAACAAACAAACAAACAAAACATGATCTGCCCAGGGGCAGAGTGGCTCCTGGAGCGCGGGGACCCCTTTCTGGTGCGCCGACCTCTGTCCCCACGGCTGGGCTGCGGGTCTCCCAGGAGCCGCGCGTCTGTGCTGTCCAGCTGTGCAGCACTGTCATGTGGCACTAAAGATCCCTACTCAGCCGTGGGGAAGGAGACAGAGCTGCGCTGCGTTTTGCTCTGGGCCCAGCTGAAGCCGCTTAGGGTCCCGAGAGACTCGAACCTTAGAAAAAGTGCTGTCAGCGCTGGGGGAGCGACCTGCTCCTGCATTGGCCACAGAGCCTGGGGGGAGGGGTCGTGAAACGCTGAGGGTATTAGGCCATCAGATCGACTCAGCAACGTCCAGACCCCGTTCCACACCAAGGATGAGGGCAGCAGTGACGCAGAGAATGCACGAGCGTGGTGGCAGCCAGAACTGTAGCCGAGAACGCCTCCAGGAGCCCCAAAGCGAAAGAGCCGCCTCTGGTCTGCGTGAAAAGCGCCTGTGGAAGCCCCCCTCATCGTGCACTGTGTCATCTTTAGAGTGGATCTGCTTCGTCCTTGAAAATTCCCCCTTGTGGCCAGGTTTTCTCACGAGTGAGTCACCACCCGGGGAAGGGACTTGTAACAGACCTGAGCAAACAAATGCTACTAACCCAACTCCAGGTGTGTGAGTAATTGCGCCTGCACCTCCACGGGGACCTATCGTGAGAGCAGACGCTCGAAGCAGAAGACCAAGATGCCTTGTGAAAGGGAGGCCCAGGGCTCAGGGAAGCTTTCTCAAGGTTGAACCAAGACCAGGGAGGGAGAGGGAGCTGGGGAGGCAAGGACAGAGGCGAGGCGTGTCATGGCAGAGAGGCAGAGGCGAGGCGCGTCATGGCAGAGGGGCAGAGCAGTGCACTTGGGGTGCTGGGAGAACAGAAATGGGTCCCACAGCCAGCCAAGCAGACAGTGGTCCAGGCTGCACTTAGAACACACGTGGCAGAGCCCTGTGGCATCTGGGAAGTGCTTGGTTTTATTCCAAGTGTACTAGGGGGCTTCCTAGCAGAGAAGGTAGCTTTCTAAGAGGCTGTCTGTGAGCCCCAAGCAGGAGGACCAGACTGTGATGAGGGTGGCTTGGGTGTGGGGTGAAGGGCCGGGGGGCAGGGAGGTGGCGTGGAGGTGGTGGAAGTGGCAGGTGCTGATGTGATCTGACACTGACTGTCCCCAGCAAAACCCTGGCAGGTAAAGTGGCCGTGGGTCCATATTCCACGGCAGAGAACCAAGGACCAAGAAGTGACTGACTTTTGACTTTTCCCCTCTCTCTGTTTGCCTGTCCCCTCCGGAGTTGATATAACCTTTTGCTCCTTTCCATCGGCTTGAAAACAAGCAAACCCAGTCTTCAAACTTCAGACTTCAAACCAAGCCCGATTGTCGCCCGCCTGTTCCCTGGTTAACAATTTACAAGTGCCATTTCCAAATGTCGGTGTTTGGCAGAGAGAATGGTAGGAGCCCTTGTTTCTTTCCATCCGGGGGGTGGTGGGTAACCCTAAGCCCCTCGCCCTATACTGTGTGTGTCAGAGCTAGTAGTAACTTCAACACGTGAACTGGAGATTGAATCCATAGAGGATCTCGAGGCCTAGAGAGAAACAGAGGCAGTGATGGGACCCAATGCACAGAACGAATCCTGATCTGAGGGGACTTTCCCAAGCCGCGTTCAGATACGGGGGGTGCGACAGTGCTGCGAGCCCCACGGAGAACACGAGGAACAAGTGTCCTGTCCTCCCGCACCTGTGCCGCAGAATCTTTGGAGAGCTCCATGGTGACTATTTTTTTTTTGACAGGCAGAGTTAGTGAGAGAGAGAGAGACAGACAGAGAGAAAGGTCTTCCTGCCGTTGGTTCACCCCCCAAAATGGTCACTACAGCCGGCAAGCTGAGCCGATCCAAAGCCAGGAGTCAGGTGTTTCCTCCTGGTCTCCCATGCGGGTGCAGGGCCCAAGCACTTGGGCCATCCTCCACTGCCTTCCCGGGCCACAGCAGAGAGCTGGACTGGAAGAGGAGTAACCGGGACAGAATCCAGCGCCCCAACCAGGACTAGAACCCGGGATGCCGGCGCCGCAGGTGGAGGATTAGCCTGGTGAGCTGCGGCGCCGACCATGGTGACTATATTAATGGTCTCAGTCCAGCACCTGCTCAGCTACGGAGTATGAGAGGCAGTTTTCAAAATGTCATTCATTCATTTCATCTTTGTTTGAACTAAGAGATGTGCAATTTCTGTGGAACCCTGGGCCTCCTCTTGTCCTAACAGTGAGACCCGCGGCCCACACTTTAAAGGCAAGTGCAGAGAAGGAGCTGTGACTCTTGCACAGAGGACGACATTTCCGAGTCGGAGGGAAATGCAGACCATGGCAAAAAGAAAAAAGTGAAAACACTAAAAATTAAGACAAGGAGCTTTGTCCCTGTCCAAATATCACTGAGCATTAGAAATGCTTCAGGATTGCCAGTGCGCCAGACCTTGCGGAAAAATCACCAGGATCACCAGGAGCATTTGGGCTCCCAGGGCTCCCTGAAAATGCAGTTTTGAATATCTGATTCTGGGGACCATAGCGGCAGACATGACTTTGTAAGCCCAGTTCCTTCATTGTCAAATAACAAAGATGAAATCAGAGTGGTAAAGTCACCTCAGGGCCACAGAGCTGGTGAGCAACGGAGCCCTGTCCTGACTCGGAATCCAAGTTCACCTTCATTTACAGGGAGGGAGAGGGGAGGGGAGGGGAGGGGAGGGGAGGAGGAGGTGCACGCACTTCTCTTCTCAAACAGCACCACGTCCCGCCTCCTGATGATGGCCGAGGACTTGCTGTTCTCAGCCATGACCACGCACTGCTGCTCTTTGCTGTGGTATTGGAAGGACCTGGCGGAGAGAACGGGCACGGTGAGCTGGCCGTCCCTCTCCTGCAAGTGGGACCGCGGGAGGGTCCACGCCGGCACCACCCCGGCGCAGGCCTGCAGACCGGCGGCCACGCTCAGCGACCTGCACTCGGACCGCCCCCGCCACGCCACGCCTCCTCCTGCTGCTGTCTCACCTGCGTGATGCCCGGCTCCACTCAGTTCCCTCACTCAGGGCCACAATGCCTGTTCTTGATTAGGATAGACCCCCCGGTGGCTCCGTTTTCCCCACCCAGAAGATTTTTGCCACCTCTTCCCAGCCAAAACACATATGCCTTCTTCCAGCCCCCCCCCCCACACCTCCCCTCCCATCCAGGGAATGCCCGGCATGCAGGCTTTGTGTCCGCCCTTGCTCTGTCCATCAGCCCCGCCAGACTGCAGCCACCTGTCCCCTGCCCACTGCCCCCCCCCACCTTCTGGTCCTCGTCACAATCTTACTCCCCCCAAAGCTGGCTCAGCTCCCACCTCCTCCCCAGTGCCCCCAACTCAACCTCAGGACGGCTTCTCCTCGGCATCTCCACGGAGCCCGAGTTGATCACGTGGCTCAGCGACACCTGACCAACTCTCGCTCTTTAAGCATCAGGTCCCGTTTCTCTGACTACATCATAAATGCAAACGGGCAGGGCAGGATCTTGCACCTGTGCTTCTTTGCTCCTTACAGTCTCTCAAGGACACTTTCCTGCCCGCGACCCTCAGTGTTTACTGGTGATGATGGCAAGAGCTACAGCTCAGAACAACAGCTGCCAGTGTTTGCGTCACATGTAAAGATAAATAACTCGGGGCTGGCTGTGGTGGAGTGGGCTAGGCCTCCACCAGCAGTGCTGGCACTCCATACAGGCGCTGGTTCGAGTCTGGCTGCTCCTCTTCCGATCCAGCTCTCTGCTGTGGCCTGGGAAAGCAGTGGAAGATGGCCCAAGTCCTTGGGCCCCTGCACCCCCTGGGAGACCCGGAAGAAGCTCCTGGCTCCTGGCTTCGGATTGGTGCAGCTCTGGCCATTGCAGCCATTTGGGGAGTGAACCAGCAGATGGAAGACCTCTCTCCTTGTCTCTCCCTCTCTCTGTAACTCTGCCTCTCAAATAAATAAAACCTTTAGAAAAGATAAATAACTTCCTTTTGGGGTATTTTTCTCAAGGGGACTTAACAGAAAGCTGTTCATATATGTTCATATATATGTTCAGAACACACAGAGTTCTGATCCCATCAGCTCCCTTTTCTCCTAAATCACATTTTTGTTCATGCACCGCAGATACACTTCTCGCGCTAGGTCTGAAAGAGCGAGGCTGCTGCCCAGGCCAGGGCGCCTGGGTACCTGCACGTGAACTCCGTCTCCGCCTCACATCTCGCTGCACACTCTGCTATGCTCGCTGCTCCCAGCTGCTTCTTGGTGAAACTGAACAGCGAGGCCCCCTGGGTGTTCACGTAGTCATCCAGGGGTTCTGCTTGACCTGGAAATGGAAGACAAACGGCAAACAACTGAGAAGATCGCACCGCTATTTAATTAGCATGACTTTATTTTAAAGATTTATTTACTTACTTGAAAGGCAGAGTTAAAGAGAGAGACAGAGAGACCTTCCATCTGCTGGTTCACTCCCCCAAATGGCCACAACGGCCAGGGCTGGGCCAGCCCAAAGCCGGGAGCTTCATCCTAGTCTCCCACATGGGTGCAGAGGCCCAAGGACTCGGGCCACCTTCACTGCTCTCTCAAGTGCATTAGTGGGGAGCTGGGTCAGAGGTGGAGCAGCCAGGACTCAAACTGGCACCTGTGTGGGACTCTGGCGTTCCAGGTGGCTGCTTAACCCCCTCCGCCACAACGCTGTCCCCTATCATACTTTTTAATCTCTCTGCTTTGTGTCAATCAAACAAAGCATAGTTTTTTCCTTGGGAGCAGAATAGTTGGCTATGAATAAAACCATTCAGCCAGGAAAACAGTTCCATGAACAGATTCTAATATATTAAAAGATCAATGGGCTGGTGCTGTGACGCAGTGGGTAAAGCCGCTGCCTGCAGTGCCAGCATCCTGTATGGGCGCCAGTTCTGGTCCTGGCTGCTCCACTTCCAATCCAGCTCTCTGCTATGGCCTGGAAAGCAGGAGAAGATGGCCCAAGTATTTGGGCCCCTGCACCCGCATGGAACACCAGCAAGAAGCTCCTGGCTCCTGACTTCGGATTGGCGCAGCTCTGGCCGTTGCAGCCATCTGGGGAGTGAACCAATGGATGGAAGACCTTTCTCTCTCTCTCTTTCTCTCTCTCTCTCTCTTCTCTCTCTCTCTGCCTCTTCTCTCTGTGTGTAACTCTGACTTTCAAATAAATAAATAAATCTTTAGAAAAAAAAAGATCAGTTAGATTGACTGATGGATGGACCACATCTGTGTCACAACTTGTATGTCCCTGCATTAACGGAATGAAACCATAGGGATGAGTACGTTTTCTCAGTCTGCTGTTGGTAGAATGCCGCGCGTGATAGAATAGCAAGAGCCTTCAGCGGCCGTGGTGTTACCAAGGCAGCTATTTGTCTGCCCCTGGGTTGAAGCAGAGCTTGGGGCCATTGTTTGATTCCCAGCAGTATACACTTTGGTTTTGACACTGTCACTTTAACTGCTGATAAGCACTCTCGGAATGATTCTCCCTCCAGATGCAAACACTTGGTGAGTCGGTGATGCTAAATAGAAATGAATGGTGGAGACTGGCACTGTGGCATAGCGGGTGGGCGCTGGTTCCAGTTCCAGCTGCTCCACTTCCAATCCAGCTCCCTGCTGATGCACCTGGGAGAGCAGTGGAAGACGGCCCAAGGCCAAGGGCCCCTGGGAGACCCGGAGGAAACTCCAGGTCCCTGGTTTCCTATCGGCCCAGCTCCAGCCCTGGAGGCCATTTGGGGAGTGAACCAGAGGATGGAAGACCTCTCTCTCTCTCTCTCTCTCTCTCTCTGCCTCTGCCTCTCTGTAACTCTGCCTTTCAAATAAATAAATAAATTTTACAAACACAACAAACTGAACGGTGGGGTCGTTATGGTGCACATTGCTGTTGGGTGACAGTGTCGCCCACAGGAGCGGGTGGTTTTACGTTATTGTTGGGTGACAGTGTCGCCCACGGGAGTGGGTAGTTATGTTATTGTTGGGTGACAGTCTCCCCAGGGAGCAGGTCGCTTTGCCCTGCGTTTGGCAGGCAGCACATCACTGGCAGCTGCAGAGAAGTGAGGTTTTCCATGTCGGAGATGGTGGCTGGCATTTTAGAGGAAATTCTTTAAAAAGAGAGCCTTAAACAACTACAGGCCCCGATTTTCCTGTGAGAGAGAAGTCTGAGGCTAGGAGTCTGTCTGCAGCCGGCTTCCCCTTGTCCCCAGGGACTGGCCGAGGGGAGCCCCGCCAGGACCCCAGCTCACGGCTTCAGGGTCCGTTCCACGCCTGGCAGGGCAGCCCCCTTCCCTGTGGTATAGAACGCGGGTGCTGTTCCGAGGGGCGCGAGGCCAACAGAGGCTGATAAAGCAGAGAGCGGAATTTCCACGGGATTGGGCAACACGGCAACCTTGACCACGGGAGAGGAGTGGTGAGGCCAGAGCCAGGCCTCGCGCGTTAACGAGTGACCAGGAGAGACGGTGGAAAGGCAGGGGAAGACAATAGAGCCGCACAAAGTCACCTTCCAAAGTCCACACTGCCCCACCCCCGCCTCACCCTCCCTCCGAGGCAGGCTCTCGGGGCGGGAAGGGTGGAAACTGCCCTGGGAGCTGGCGGCTGCGTCCTGGGTGTCAGAGCACTCGGCTGAGGGACCAAAGGGCAGGGAGAGACGAGCATTGCAGGCCCACGTCTGTCTTCACCTCGCGCTTTCTCCCAACGCGAGCTCTCGTTTCCAATAAGAGTGGTGCCCTGGTAACTTCTACAGCGCAGGATGTGACCGTGCAACACACACAAACCTATGAAGCCTGCCCCACCGAGCGTTGAGAAGGATGGCTACGGACAATATTCAAAAAGAGAACATTGCCGGGCCGGCGCCATGGCTCACTTGGTTAATCCTCCTCCTGTGGCGCCTGCATCCCATATGGGTGCCGGGTTCTAGTGCCGGTTGCTCCTCTTCCAGGCCAGCTCTCTGCTGTGGCCAGGGAGTGCAGTGGAGGATGGCCCAGGTGCTTGCACCCGCATGGGAGACCAGGAGAAGCACCTGGCTCCTGGCTTCAGATCGGCGGAGCGTGCTGGCCGTAGTGGCCATTTGGGGGGTGAACCAACAGAAGGAAGACCTTTCTCTCTGTCTCTCTCTCTCACTGTCTATAACTCTACCTGCCAAATAAATTAAAAAAGAGAGAGAACATTGCCGTTTATGCCACCCGTCAATTACGCTGCCTCGGACTGCGCCACGTCATTGCGTTTCTAGCACACAGCTAGTGAGGTCCTGCTCGGGAGCTTTTGCCCGAAACGCCTTCAAGAGAGTCAACGTCTTTCTCTTTCTTAGGAAAAAAATTGTCCCAAGTCCGTCTTTCCCTCCTCTCACCTCCACGACTCGTACGGCAAGGAGTTTAAGACAATTTCTTTGCTGGGTGAAGAAACACTAAACGAATCTTTCGGTAGGAAAAATGTTTTTGTTATGGGTGACATGTAGATGCGTGCTGCTACCAACACGAGTGCATTTTATGAATAATGTGGGTTTTTTTTTTACCATCACTGTGGTGTGTGTGTGTGTGTGTGTGTGCAGCAGAGATTTGTGAAACCAAGACCTTTCTCGCCGAGTACAGCTCTGAAGGAAACGGGATCCTCTCCCGGTCATGGCAGCGCTGCAAAGTCCCAGGTCACTTCCGGGGAAAGTGAGTCGGCGCCTCCTTTCAGGGAGAGCTTTCGGATCATGTCCACCCAGGCCGCTGGAGGCCCGCGAACCCTGCCGCAGGGGGGTTTGTGCGAGCCTGGGCTGCCGCTCACAGGAAAAGGCCACGGTGAGCCAGGGCCCAGTTTCCACGAGTTGACACAGAGTAGTCGCACACACGTGTTCATGCACACGCATGCACCCACGCGTGCATACTCCATTCCCCACAAAAACCTCTTTGCTAATCTTCTGTTCCAGATTGTTCTATACTTCCTTCAATGGCTGCCACCAGCGTTGCTGTCTTTGACACTAAAGGACAGCTTGTAAGATTTTATCTGCTCGCTTGTGGACTGAATTTCAAATATTTACACACTGTGTGTATGAGGAACCACAGGCATAATGTAGGGTTCCATTTGTAGGAAATGTGCGAATTAGCAAATCCTTAAATACAGAAAGTGGTGGCAGATTGGGGCAACAGCTGAAGAGAATGGAATTTCTTTTCAAGGTGAAAATACCCTAAAATTTATAGTGGCAATGCTTGTACAGATCCGCGTACCTGAAACCATCGGTGTCCACCTTAAATGGGCAAATTTTATTGTTTGGGAATTATAGCTCAATAGAGCTGTTTAAAAAAAACTGTTAGGACATTTCTAAAGGTTTAAACAAACTTGAAAAAGTGAGAACACTAAATTCCTTCTTGGAAAGCCCTGGTTTAAATCCTCGCTTCCACATTTCTTTAATTTGGAGTTTGGTCAACCAGCAAATAGCACAATTTTCTAAAGTCTAGATTTTATCTTCTGTAAAGTGGGGGTGAATACGGGACTCTGCCCACACCTCCAGGTCCATAAGCTGGTGTTGGGAAAGAGCACACACACCCTCACACACACACACACACATGCTCACACACGTACACACACATACCCCCTCACACACACGCTCACACACACTCACATGCTCACACACATACACACACATACTCCCTCACACACACGCTCACACACACTCACATGCTCACACACACATGTTCACACACACTCACTGACACATGCTCACACACATGCTCACACACACATGTTCACACACACTCACTGACACATGCTCACACACATGCTCACACACACATGTTCACACACACTCACTGACACATGCTCACACACATGCTCACACACACTCACATGCTCACACACATATGCATACTCACACATACACGCACACACACTCACATGCTTGCTCACACACACACACACGCTCACACTCACTGACACATGCTCACACACATGCATGCTCACATATACACACACACTCACACACATACACACTCACTCACACACATGCTCACACACACATGCTCACACTCACACATGCTCACACACATACACACTCACTCACACACATGCTCACACACACACATACTCACACACACACACATGCTCACACATACATGCACACACACTCACATACTCACACACTCACATGCTCACACACTTGCTTGCTCACACACACACACAGATGCACGGTACCTGGCCCACCCCAAGCCCTGAATGACTGGGCTGAATTGCTGTAAGCACACTCGGCGAGTGGCGTAACAAGCAAACGTTACGGATGGAAAGTTGTCTTTAAGCCACAACAAATAAAAAAAGGCTCAGTGCGGCTGGAGTGTTTCAGCTTGGGAATGAAGGGAAGCTAGTCCACTTTTATGCTAAAAATGAGAAATTAATCCGACTGAGAGCCAGGCAGAGAGATGAAGTGTCTTTCGGGCTGTTAGCTCTGTTGGCTGTTTTTTTTTTTTTCTTCAACTGAAATAGCCATCGCTTGGGCCAAGACCTTAGACTTGCAGCATCCCCAGGACTCACGCCAGCATTCATCCCCTACAGCCTGACCGTACCCCGAGGGACACGAAACCCGTTTCTCGAAGCAGCCCTCAATCTTGCTAGTTTCTGAACCAGGCAAACGCTCAACCAGACGAGTTGCACATAAAGCTAGAATGCTTCTCTGTGTAGGACGAGGCCAAGAGAAACGAATGCTCAACGCAGGAAAAAAACAAAGTTGAGGTCTTACCTGGTTTCAGAAGTAAGAGAAGGAGAAGGACTACTGCCCTCTGCTCCATGTCGGGACGGGACCGCGGCGTCCGGAAGCCCGTGTCCCCGTCCCGGGATGCTGTTGACACACAGGAGAGTGGATGCAGCCACAAACAAGACAGCCCTGCGGTTAATCATTGTCTCGCAGGCCCCCGCCGCTGCACGCGGGAGGGTTCGGTGATACCGGGAATGGAAGGGGAGTAGGTGCTGGGAAGGGCAAGAGCGGTGCTCGCTCACCCCCCCCCCCCCCGCTGCCTCTCCTCCTCCCCTGCCGGCCTCCCCCGCGCCCACTTAGTCTGGCCGCCTTCCCCCTTTCCTTGGATACCCACAGAATCCTAAGGCTAGCTCACATGTGCGGGGTACCTTCCGCCCACCACACATCCCGCCACGTGCTCTCGCTCAGCCTCCTCCCTGAGCCCTGTCACCCCCACTCCCGGTCCAGACAAGGGACAACGCTAACGGGCAGGAACAGCCTGGGCCTTGGGGGACAAACTTCGGCTCAGGTGTCCGTTAACACTGCCACAGCCTACCAAGCACTGTAGAAATTATGATGTCAGTGAAAATACTTAATTATTACCAACATGTATTGATTCCCGGTGGACTCAGATGTTTATGTAATTATAACTTACGTTATAAAATATCAATATTTCTCGCAAATCGAGTCACGGTGGATGCTCCTATGTTCATGAAGTCAAGTGTGGTGGAATTAAGTTGAGTGAGCCTGTCTCAATGTTATAGTGCCGTCTGTGCTTTTCCCTGGCTAAGGCTAGACTGACATGATCTAAGGCTCCCATGGCAGGCCGGGGGGGTGCGGGTAGGGCCGGGACATTTGGGGTAGTGGTTAAGATGCCACCAGGGACGCCCATGTCCCAAACCAGAATGCCTGGGTCCAAGTCCAAAATCTACTTCCCATTCCAGCTTCCTGCTAGTGCGCACCCTGGGAGCAGCCTGTGAAGGTTCAAGTATTTAAGTCTGGGCACCCATGTGAGAGCCTGGGCCCAGTTCCCCGTTCCTAGATTCAGCCTGGCCCAGCTCCGCCTTTGCGGGCATTCTGGGGAGAGAGACGGATGGACGCCCCATCTCCATCTCTGATTTTAAAAAAAAGCAAAGGAGAGTATCCTCATTAAAACATAAAAAACTTCATCTTTAGTGTTTGAAAATATCTAGGAATAACAAGCTAAGCCCCCGTCTTGGATGTAAGCTAAGGGCAAGAAAGCGCTCACGCCCCTTTCTAGGCTGCACAATCTGTCGTATGAATCGCGTAGCTGAGCGTCAGGGCGGGTGCCCCCGGTTCCCTGGGGTAAAAGCTCCCAGGGAACTCAGGACGGAAGCCCCCGTGTGGCATTCTCAGGGACAGAGCGACCCGGAGGACGGGGCTGGCGCCGCGTGAGGGGCCGGGGCCCCACTGGGACCTGGCTTTCCTCCCTCTTTGCACTCTGAACGTGGCCCTTTGTCCGCCCTGCACCTGCTGGCCCACTGAACTCACACCAGAGCAGGCAGAGCACGCAGGCAGGCTTGCCTCCTGCACGGCCCAGGCAACGGCTTTTAGGGCTCGCGCTGCTGGAGACAGCACCGGGGAAAAGCCAGGCTGTGTGTTTATTCCACTTTCAATAGCATTTCGTGCTCTTCTGCGTCAGGAAACTCAGCAATGATGTGGTCAGAACTTCTGTTCCCACCTGCTTCCTTCCCCTGCTGCTTCTGGGTTCCGTTTGGCATTGGTATCCGTCCCGTCTGCTTGCCCTGGGTGATTCTGGGATACACTAGAGTTTACAAATGGGATTTTTTTTTAAAGATTTATTTTATTTATTTGAAAGAGAGAGTTACAGAGAGGTAGAGACAGAGAGAGAGAGGTCGTCCATCCGCTGGTTCACTCCCCAGATGGCCGCAACAGGCAGAGCTGTGCAGATCCGAAGCCAGGAGCCAGGAGCTTCTTCCAGGTCTCCCACGTGGGTGCAGGGGTCCAAGGACCTGGGCCATCTTCTACTGCTTTCCCAGGCCTTAGCAGAGAGCTGGATCAGAAGTGGAGCAGCCAGGACCAGAACCGGTGCCCATATGGGATGCCGGAACTGCAGGCAGTGGCTCAACCTGCTGCACCTGGGAATGTTGTTTACCATCCCCCTGTACACAACTAATTCAAAATAAGTCTTTCTTCCAGAAAGAACGGCAGAAACTGACAGAAGAAAAACCCACCTCTGTCTACTGTTAGCAGGGGCATAAGTGTTGAGACGTATGCTTACTTAGCTTAATTCAGTGTTTGCTGGCCACTTACTGCTTACAGCAGAGGCTAGAATCTTCCAGGATTATATAGAAATTAGAAATCGCTGTCTGTAACCTCCTTTGACCTCCACCCTAAAGAGACAGCAGGGAAAGTTTTGCATCTCAGGTTTGCACAGATCCTGCGGCTGGCCGGAAGCCAGGTTCTGGGACAATCAAAGAGGAATCCAATTTCCTGAACTCTGCCCTGCATGAGACCTGCAAGGAAAGCCCACTCGTTCTCCTAGGAGGGAAAAGAAATCAGTATTTACAGGGCAAACTCCTCAGTAAACACCAGGGAGTTCAAGCTCACCAGGAGAGGCAGG